CCCTGTGTTCACTCTGTTTATGTTTATCCACGGAGACTAGAGAATACACACGTTTTCATGCAGCTTTTCCCTCAACTGAAGTTACTTGTCTCACTCACTGTTGTCTGCCTCTCAGGTGAAAAGCTCACTACTGCCCCTAGAGGCCTGGGGCACTTCTGTTCTGCTTTTTCTTTTTGCAGCGTGTTTCTGTTTATGCAACACATTTGCGTACAAGCAGCTGGTTTGTGTATATGCACGTCATTTGCCACCGTATCTTAGTAACAAAGATGATTGAATTTATACAGTTCTGACAAAGCCAACAAAATGTCACATGTTTCATGAAAACAGAATTTACTGAAGGGTCATTTCACCTTGACAGCATTATAATCAGGTAGACAGACATAGGATGTATCACAAGGCAGAAGTCTGTATTTCTGAAACAGAACCTACATATAGGTAGAAGCTTAGTGCATTGCTTCTGGGAACAAACTAACATAATGCTAAACAGCCACACGCTGTCATCCGAAACACTCAAAAACAGAAAGCTTAAAAACAATCAAATCCACAATTATATCCTAAGCACGGCACCGGCTATGCAAATAATGTGACCCCTGCATACGACAAAAACAACATCCTGATCCTGACTGCATTCTGACGACAGCTTGAGTGTAGGTCAGGACCAGTGATGCATACGGTGCACACAGGGTCAAGTGTAATCACAGAGTTTTGTGCAAAATTAATCACTCCTTAACTGCACTCTATAGGTTCTCCAACAGAAGTGTTCAAGTGCGATTTTAATCCCCCAGTTTGCCTCCTTGACCTTAAAGGCCTCCTTGAACATCAAGGACCGTTCCCGCGAGAAGTGAACGACTTTGGATTATGTTAAAGTTGGAAAACATATTTTTCCTCCTCCTCGTGACAGGCTCGTATAACCATCTTTGTAACCATGACATTTATTGTGATCCACGGAAGCATCACCTAAACTCTAAATATAGACGTGTTGATTTAAAGGTCATGGAACTGTGTCTGGGATTTTTTTTTTTCTTTTTTTATATACGTGCTTACAAAGTGCTTCGCAATTTTTTAGCTGGCATTCAGTATAGTTACTGAAGATAGATGATGGGAATGATAAGGATGATAACACTAATAATTCAATTGATAAATCAGGTTGGTCAGGAATCTATTATTACTCTGTGCCTTTCTCATCTATAACCAGTGGCTGAACCCCGCTAGCAGTCATTTCCCATCTCACAGACTGTCTGGATGACTGATCAGGGTTGTGATTGTCTCCCCTCTCCCCAACACACCACCGCCACATACGTCAGCAGTTGCCCATACATCTTGAGCAGTCTCTAACTCCAAGCCAGAGCATTTCTAGAGCCCCGGTAAACGTTGCAATCAACGGCAGAATTGGGCCAATTCCTCATAACCTTGTCTGCACATGGCACCTTGCCTTGAATCATAAGAGCGTCGGGCTGTAGCAAGTGTTCAGTCTGTCTGCAGAGCAGCTATATTGCCCCAGTGGGTTTGAAGAGGGTAGATCGACATTTAATTATCTATGATTGCCCACAAAAGCTGCATGGGTATTGTAGATGTGATATAATGGGGCTGCCACGAGCCCTGTCATGATAGCGACATGTACAAACAGCAGTTATGTGACATTGCAGCCCGTTCCATGCGGCTGCTCTGTGCTGTGGCCAACAGCGGACTTTAAACAAAGGTTTTTGAGATTGTCTGCATTCGGGCCGTCGCAAGAGAGAGAGAAATATGAAACAGACATCACAGGTGTACTTTATTCCACTCACAATGAACCCCAAAAAATCCAAATATGGAATATTAATTCGCAAATAGTAAGCTTCTATGCCTTCAAAACCTATTTTTGATTTGTCCTTAAGAGATCAATACAACTCTCTCGCAGTTTGAAAAGCAGAATGTGTTTTTTTTTTATGAAGCAATCATCTTTTCTTTTAACAAAGCCAAGCTTCACCTTAAAAAAAAAAAAAAAAACTGAATCCCATCAAAAAGACTTTAAAACGGCATCTAATTTATAACCACATTAGACTTAGAGATGAGTTCCCATTGACCATTGTTGAGGGGAGATGTTCGATCTCAAGCATTATGTTCAGTCTGGTGGCAGACTTCTTTATGTTTCTCTTGAAAAGAAAAGCAAAATCAATAGTGAAAATGTTTCACATGATTCATTTGCGAGGCTCAATCGAAGTAGCAGCAATTTTTCCAAAATAATTATGAGCAATCTAACATCTCGGATTGCACATCTTCTTCTCCAGCCAATCATAGGCATATAAGCAAGCAGTGAAAGGCGTTGTGGAAATTGATTGTCCTTTTTTCTTTTTTCAAATTTTTCACAAAATAAACAAAATGTGCTGATCAATCTAGTCACATAAGTACACCTCTTGTCAATGTCTCCAGTTTTTACAATGGAGACTTGATGTTTCTGAAGCCATTAGTTATGACCAGCATGCCAGACGAGGCATTGATCGCCGGCCGCTTGTAAATGCAACAGCAATCATTTCACAAAGAAAAAAATAGAGCTGACTACGCTGTCATATATAAATGTGTGACCTGCGCAAAAAGTGTCAAGTTAAACGACTTTTTAATTTACTCAAAGTACAGAGTGGAGTTATTTCAGAAGTGCTTGTTGTTACAGACCTCTGTGTTCTTCGGCGTCGCTTTCACACTTCTTGCCAGTTACAACAGATATCAGATAACATTTTTAAAACTTGCCAAAATACCACATTTCTATATTTCAAAGGGAAGTCTGCCCAAACATACAATAGGAAACTACTGGTGTAAGTGTGCCGCCTGCTTTGTGCAGGCTCAAGTGACGTGAACTGGTTCTTGATTTGTCTTGTTGATGTCATAATCCACTCTACTGTACTTTTCTGACGGATGTCTCACTTTTCAGCTTTTACGGCTGATCTCATAGCAACACAAGGTGTTCTGTATACTGAAACATGTGCCTCTGGATTTTATTGACCTTCCACATGGGGAGGTTTATGGGCAGTTCCAGCGAAGAGACGCTTGAGACTTGAGGTCAGTTTTTCCAGATAATTCTTCTGTGTTTATAATGAGGTATTCTTACACTAAAAAAAATAATAAAGGCTCTGACTTCTTCTTCCATCGCTGATTCCAAACTTTGTGCACAACACACCAGAATGTGGAAGACACCCACGCTGCTCCGTTTTTACTTCTAACAATCCTCCTGATTCCGCTCCTTGCTGAAGTGTATTTCTTCTATGTCTCATGACGGCGGAGTCATTATAACATATGGCTCTTCTTACCGCGACACACAGACAAAACTGATGGCTGAATAGCTGCGGAGATTTAATGCCAGCTGCTGTGAGAAACAGAAACAACTCAAATCCAGTTTGCTTCAGCAGCTATTTAAAATGTAGGAAATTGAGTGAGACACTGCATTTTATGTTCCACATTTACTCTGTGTCACAGTGGGGATCTCTGCCGCTCCTGGGCCTGACTCCCTCCAGTTATCAGCCCAGGTGATTAAGAGCACAGACCGCCATCTCTCTATAGAGGGCACCCACAGACCCAGAATGTCTTGTTTGCTAGAGCTGTGTACATTTTGTATTTGAAAGAGCAGCAAGTCAATGAATCTCGATAATGCGAGAGCCGGGCCACATAACTCACGTTGATAGTCCTTACATTGTGCCAAGAGGCGATAAATCTGCTCTGGGAGACATGAATATGCAGTGGCAGTCAGTCTGGCTTGTTCTTGCTTGCATGCCCCCTGATGCACAGTTTATTCCTCTCCCCCATTCCAAACAGAAAAATAAAACCAATGAGCCGCAGCACTATCTCATCAACAGCGTTGTATTAAGCACAAAAAAAAAAAAAAAAAAGAAACTGTAGCGGGGCATTTTTCAGAATATGCTTAATAACTGCAAATCATTAATTTGAAAAATTGCAATTTGTGCTGTTGGCTTATTGCAATTTAATATTAAAAATGTCTACTTTTTTAAAACGTGTAGTGTCAGATGTGATTATAAATAACACATCTATCTATCTATCTATCTATCTATCTATCTAGCAATATATTCAAGATCTAACATATGACCAATGAGCATTTTTAAAAAGTTAAAATGTAAAACTAGAAGCTGCAGCTTTCTTCCTTTCCCAACTTGATGTCAGTGTGTCCATAGTCGTGTCCAGTGTCTGTCTTAAGTGAAATCTGAATTCCATACATTCTGGTGAGAGAGACACAATCAGTGCTCTTTCTATGTGGCTGTTTATGTGGCTTGTGTTTGACGACACTTTTCTTAAGGAATGAAAAATGGACCGGCAGATAGGCACCATGCAGCTACGGGGGATTAATGTACTCATTGACACAGACAGAATGCCTCAAATAACAGCGATAAGAAGCCTGCTTTGTCAATGGCCCAACCCTCAGCTGACACTTATTTCCCTCATGCAAATAATTTATCCTATTCACAGTACTGCAGGCAGTTGGGGGGGGTCCCTTCTTTTTTTTTGCTTTTGGCAGGGAAATTATATTGCTATTTCTATCTCCAGAAAAGAAAAGAAAAAAATTGCATCTGTAACATTGCTGAGAACAGAATAACACAAATGCCAAATTGTAAAGATAAAAAAAAAATGTGAAGAAATTAATGGCCATCGTAATGAAAGTGTGTACAACATTTGGACAAGTGGAGAATTATGGGTGATTATTCGGATCCCTCTCACATCCATAAAACACTTCTTGGACATACTTGACAAGTATGCGTAACGACGCGTGCCTCTAGTGGCACCGTGGAAGGAGGGTCGTCAGACGCACGCAGATGCACCGCTTTCTGCACTACCTTTCCGTCCAGTGCAAACTGGGGAGATTTGTAAAACGAACACTGTGTAACAGAGGTCCTTTTGAGTAGATTTGGACGTCCTTCAATAACCAGCTTCGCGCAATCACCGTGCGCAATTGGAGAGGAGCGTCGAGGAGCAGATTTCCTTCACAGTGTTCTCAACTGTTCTATTAAGTGCAATGAAGGACTGGAGTGATTAAACTGCAACAAGAATCTACGAGTCACCGAAGTGGGTTGAAATTCCTCAGCACTCGTCGTGTAACGGTTTTTTTTTTTTTCTCTGTCTGTCTTTCGGACGACAGAATCGTTCGAGGCGACCCAAAGTTCCGCAGGCGCAGTTCTCCTCCACAGCGGTGCAGGAGTCCGACTCGGCTGTTGCCGTGGTACTTGCCAGTAGATAGATAGCATCGTCGGTAGGAGGGGATACAGAGACTCCTGCAGGCTAATTGTAGCAGCCTGCATTCGCAGGTGTTTCGCTGATCTGCCTGTGAAGGACTGGGGGCTCCATCCTGGTCGAGTCGCTCTCAGACTTGTGAGAAACAGAAAAGAAAAAAAGAAAAGAAAGAAACCCTGGGAGAATGTTGCACCAAGTACAATGAGCGCAGACTTGTCGCAGACACCAAAATCCATATATGCTCCGCCGAATTCAGTTTTGATGAGCAATTCTGACTCGTCTTTGGAATTTTAAAAAGTGGATCCCGCGACTTTATAACCATGCGAAATACTTGGCTGTCTCCCCGGAGTGCGATTTGGGAATACTGGACATCGCTGATTGCATGTCTCTTTTGGATTCAGTACTCTTACGGGATGCCTCATGTTATTCGAATAGGTAAGTTGTCCACATTTACATCCACACACACGTACACACACACACACACACACACACACACGCTCACAACGTTTGTACTGTAACCTTGAAAGTTGCTCCATATTCAGCGCGTTTCGGTGCGTGGAGCGGTTGCTTGGTGGCTCCACGGCTGCAGCAGTTAGTTTTTTTTTGTAGTGGGCTTAAATGAGCGGTCCGTTTCATTTACCATCCGCCTCACAAGGGTCGGCTGTGAATTTTCTTTCTTTCTTTTTTTATTTAAACAGGAGGCAGCCAGTAAGCAACAGGAGAGGAGTACATAACAGCACACGATTGCCTGTAAAAATTGGAGGATGCCTTGTGCACTTAGAGACCTTGCAATGAAATATTGTGGGTTAGTGTGACCTCTATGCACTCTGCTTTGTCTGTTCCATTTTCTTCAGCCAGCATGTTGAGTCACCAGCTAAATTCAGGCTCATTGCCATGCCTTCTGGAAGTAAGTTTTTAAGGACAATCTGTTAAATTAAATACCACGGTTTGAAAAAATCGACAAGATCTGCTCCGGCATGGAAAGTTTGAAGCAGCGTTGCATCATTTATTTAAGAAGTTGCATCTCTTATGATCAGACAAATAGCCCAAAAGAAGAAAAAAACAGATTAATCAAAGTTAAATATTGGCTTTATTTTATTTTATTTTATTTGCATATACTGTGGGGGAGCCAGCAAGACGTCTGTGCTGGCTTTGTCTTTTTTATTTTCCTCCAATCACTCACTGAGGAACAATGTGAGAATTGTCATTCGGAGGCTGGCGATGCGATGAAACATTTTGCGCGGCCAAGAGACAGGGACAGAATGAAGATCAATACGTTTTTGTCACGATGCAAATCGTTCTTGACATTTGGCGGAGTGCCATGCAGGACAATTACTCAAAATGGCATTGCCCCACATTAACATAGCACTACAACAGCCGGAGTACAGGCAGGGAGAGAGAGAGAGAGCATCTTAATGGCATTGGGGGGCTTTTTTTTTTTTTTCTTGGTCTTCCAGGTTAGAAGTGATGCTTGGAAGTGGATGGATGCTACAAAATTGCATATTCCATATCTTACTCTTAAGAGCCGCGAATGGCCTTTTATATTGTCTGTGACATATCTGCAAATCCTCAACATCCGGCTCTGGGTTTTTTTTGCAATTCATAATTCCCAGTGTGCTCTGTGGGTGGTCCCTGAACAGCTACATTAATTAAAAAATAAAGTTATTGGATGGATATAAAAAACATAGTAGGTTTTGTAGCACAGAAGTTGAAGTGCATTGCTGCTGACGTTCTGCATATTGATTCTAAAATGTGAATTAAAGCTGCAGAGGCTCAAAGCACAAAGTGTGGAGATGTGCAGAATAATGTTTACTGCTGAGCATCATATGCAGCCATCAGACAGGCCCAGCATGCAGCTACCTGTGATTGACTGCTGCTCTCTGAAGAGCCATGACTTCTGACATCGCTGTGTATAGACTCTGGTGATGTCTTAAAAAAAAAAAAACACACACAGCATAAATCATAAATCCTGCTGAACTGAAGTGAAACTGTTTGGTCAAAGGGGACATTTTATCCCCCCTTATTATTATTATTATTATTATTTATTTATCTTTTTTCTCTCTCACTGTGGCAGCAGCTCAAATGAAGACCTGAAATAGACTTGACAGGCTTTGTTTTTTTTTTTAAATGTCAAAGTGCTGAGACAAATTTACCCTGAAATGTGCTACAGTCGCACTATTGCTTTTTATAGAATCCATCATTGCTCGTGGTGCGGCAGCAGTTTGGTTTCCTTGTGTTCCTGAGATTGTATTTTGACAAGTTTGAGAAGAGGGGGACATGCAAGAGAAGGTTTGCTGAATTTACTCCGACGCCGAAAACAGAAAATCAAAAGGCCTCTGTGTCTTTGTGTGATCTTTAAAAAAAAAAAAAAAAAA